GGCACCCCCTCTCAAGTGCCTTTTCTCTTATTTGTTATTCATTTATTTTTAGATTGGACCTTCGCAGTTTCCACTTGCCGTACTCGCGGATTTCCCTGGTCCCCAACGTGGGCCTGCAGGTCGCCATCTCCAACGCCTTCGCCGAGGTGGACGGGAACTGGCGGGTGAAGATGTACTTCGTGTGCGTGCCCGGCTCCCCCTCTCCCTGCTCGGGCGCTTCACTCTGCGCCTCCCTTTCTGGGTCTGGACAGGTTTTTTCTCCTCTCCCTCTCCCTTGTGTCTGGGCAGCTGTTGCTTTGCTCTCTCCAGATGTGCTGACTTGCCTTTCCCGCAGCCGGGCTGCAGCCGCTGTATTCCCGATGCACATCTGGGAGCCCCTCGCCCTGCGGGAGCCCTGCCAGGTCTCCCTCCGTGCCAGGAGACCTGGGAGCTGGCCAGGCAGTGTTTATCCTGCTTGCAAGTGGTTGGGGAGACAACGTGAAAGCCATCTCCCCTCTCGTGGCACCTGGGGGTGTGAGGGACGCTCCCTCCCAGTTGCTTGCACGGGGGAGCACCCTCCTGAGCACCCGCAGGGACAGACCCGCGCCGGGACCGGGGGTGGGCAGGGGTCGCTGCCACTCGTACAGCCACTGAGATGGACAAAACAGGGCGGGAGACAAGAACAAGGTGGACGATGGAGGAGCTGTGCTTCAACTCTCCTGCCTCTCCCCATCTCCCTCACTTGCTCTCGGCCCTCTCTGTTTAAACGTTACCTCTCCTAGTTTATGTTCCAGTGAAATTTGTTCTCCCTGAGCTTAAAAACTTTCCCAGTCTCCTCTGGATGCTCAGTACAAGGGAGAGCCTGAGCTAGATAGATCTGTCCCAAGGCTGATCTGGGGACCCTTCACCAGGACTCGGCATTGAGAAATGTCCCGTTCTGGTCCTCCTCTCCCTGCAGCCGGGACCACGGTTCGTTTGACCTGAAGGTGGAGAACGTCTATATCAAAATCAACCTGAAGCTGGGCAGCGACGCCTCCGGGAAACCCACCATTGACACCTCTGACTGCAGCACCCGCATCTCCAAAGTCCGGGTACACTTTTCGGGCAAGTTTGGGTACGTAACTTCACCGTGCGGGCCTCGAAACGCTGCTGTTAGCCCGTCTGCCGTGGGAACGTGGCTTCCAGGCCCTGGTGCAAGGAATAAGTGTTGGCATACCTGCAGTCCCTTGGAGGCCGCCCCTTCTGCCCGCAGGCTGCCTGCACTGGCCCACCACTGTCGGCTCTCTCTGGACTCTTGCGATGCACTTCTCATCCAGAGATGCAACTGAATGAACTTAAATCTGGCCTGAATTTGTCCTGCTGTGGCTGCACATTTAAGGGAGATTTAAGGCAGTCACCAGACCTGCGTGCACGTGGTTTACAAGCAGGTCTGTTTGCAAATGTAAACCCTGAGGCAAAGCTAGACACCAAACTGGTATGGGAATGACGTTCCCCAGTGTTCCGGAATCTCTAGGGTCTCCCTTTCCTGGCAAATGCTTCTGCAGCAGCCTCTGAGCTAAAGGACTCCTCTCTTTTTCTCTGCAGATGGCTTTACAACCTCTTCCATAGTGCTATTGAGTCCAGATTCCGGAAGATCCTGGAGAGCAAGGTACGTGAGCGAAGGAGGGCAGAGCTCCGGGTTTTTCTGGTAGTCTTTAGCCTTCGCTTGTAGCTGATGTGCAAGGAGGATCAGAGCACACGCAGGGATTTAACTAGAGCCAGAGCACCCGGGCGTGTTGCCGATTTGGTGAAAACCAGAGGAATGGCATTGGTAACTGCAGTCTCCGTAGCATCGTGTGGCTCAGGCTGAATTTGAAACCTGCAGCCTTTGCCAAAGCCCAGCATAATTGGTTCCTAATTAACAAAGACTTTTCTTTCCATGTGGTCAGTTAATTAGATCTTATGCCTTGGCCAAACTCACTGTAACAGAGGAAACCTGATCGCTTTGGGGAGCAATCGGGGAGAAATTCTCATTTCTGGATTTCAGACACTTGCCATCTTGTTTTAACGGGGTGCATCAGGGAGGCCCTGCCACCGTCTGCCCGGTACAAAAGCCGACATGCAGGAGACCTGCAACAAGACATGGAAACAAGCTGTTAGCAATAATTACTACAAGGCTAACTGGCAGGAGTTACAGCCTCCCTGGATGTGAACCTTGCTCAGGAAGGAAGCAGTTGGAGAACAGGCAAATCCCACTCCCGCAGCAGATCCCACCCTGCCCGGGCGCTATTCCCGATGCCAGGTAGTGGCTTTCCCCAGGCCCCCGGGAGCGGCGGCAGCAGATGGGCTGGCAGCAGGAGCGGAGCTGGGGCTCGAAGGCCTTTTCTGCTGTTTTGCCTCCTGGAAGGAGGGCAGCTCTGGGACTCCGAGGGCACCTCTGCTGCTCTGCTCCTCCTGCCTGTCCGAGCCCCCTCTGCCCAAGGCACATTTCTCAGTGCCTTTCTCCATGTGTGAGACGGCACCGGGAGCGACGGGCAGGAGAAGGCAGGGGCCGGGACCCCAAGGCACAGCCCGGTCCCAACCCAGCTCCGGCCCTGGCAGCCAACGTCTGCCTCCTGCTCTCGCTGCACGAGCCTGGACGGGGGGACCCGGTCACTGGGAGATCCCGGTCACTGGGATCAGGGCTGCGTTTGTCCGTCTGCAGCTCCGTCCTCCCAGGCAGCGATGGGGCGTTTCCAGGACAGACAGACGAATATCGGCTGGGCACAGGGAAGAGCAGGAACCTTCTGTTGATAAGGCCATGCCCAAGGCTCCGTCCCTTCTCTTCCTCCCCGGTGCTGCCCAGCCAGCGGCTGCATCGCTGTTAGCATGGTCGCTGCCCCTCCGGAGCTCTGCATCTCGCTGTCAGCTGCTGCAGGCTGGATGCCCGGTCAGACAGATGATGGCCTGATCCTGCCTGGCGGTTTCTGTGCCATTATGGGGAAAGCATTGGAAGAGAGCTTGTGCAGATTACCTCAGCCGTCTGCGGGACCGTGCCCTGCAGTCAGTTTCCTGAGTCAGTGTTTAGCCTGCAGTTAAATCCCCCACTGATGCCGAGGCTTCACCCGTAGATGACAGCGGCAGAGCGATTTGCTCTTCTGTCCTGGCAGCACGGGGCTGTAGGAACGCAGGATAGCTCTGCTTTGTCGGTGCAATTAGTGGTCCTGCCCCCGCGGGGGGGGGGTAACGCTTTCCTTCCCCTGCGGGGGTGGGTTAACGCTTTCAGTTGCTCTGCTACGGCTAAGCCTTGGCTGCTCAGCACAACTCATTCCAGCATGGGCCGTAGGAAAAGTCTGAGGGCACACGTGAGATTCTTTCCAAGGGCCTCCATGGAGCTGAGCAGTGGGTGGGGAGCTTGCTGCAAGCAGATGCTTGCAGGTATAAACCCTGCTTGTATCTTGGACACTTAATTAATGTGCTGCCTGGTGAGTAGAGACAAACATCATTGTGTGCTCCTTTATGTAAGCAGGCTTTTGCAAGGAATAAAAACGGCACCGGGCAGCAAAGCAGAGAGTGCAGCTGAAGCTTTGACCAGGGGATATGAACCGGCCGCCCCCGGCAGAGCTGCCCTTGCTCAGCTTCGCTGCCTTTCTTTGCCGCAGGTCTGTGAGAACGTGGTCAGCTCTGTGCGCAAGGAGCTCCAGCCTTACGTCCGGACCCTGCCAGGTACCAGGCGGGGGCCGCACGGGGTTTTAGGAGTGTTTCTTCCTAGCACTTTCCAGCCATGAGGACAGTGCTTTACCTTGTGCCCACTCCCCATTTCCTTGTATTTCTGCACCCAAGTTGGGGAACACTGTTATCAGCAGAGACTTGTCACTGTGCACCCCGTCCGGCTGCGTGCACAGCCTCCAGCGAGCTGTGCCCCGGAGCTGGTGGGAGCACGGGCTGCCTTAGCCGGGGGACCCAGACCATTCCTCATGTCCAGGAGTTAGTCTGTGTGGCTGAGAAACAGTCAGGAGGGAAATGTTATTTTTTGCTTCTAAACAGAAGCAAGCACACGTGAAGCTGGTACTGAGCTGTTGCACCAGGAAGCCCAGGCACAGCACTGCCTGGATGTCTGCAGAGGCAACCTGCTCCCGGCTTTCCCGTGCCATCCCCCTCTTGCTCATCCGTCTGTTCCGTGTTTTACAGTCACAGCCAGGATAGATGACATGGCTGGCATCGATTACTCCTTGGTGGCACCCCCAACTGCTACTGCCCAGTCCCTGGACGTGGACCTGAAGGTGAGAGGCTGCCCTGGGAAAGTTTGAGTTGGCTGATGCCATCGCCACAGGCGGGTGAGGAACCAGGTTTAGGTACCTCCTGCAAATGCTGTTTCCCAGCTCAGGTCAGCAGGTGAGTCCCACCACCCTCTGCTCTCCTGCTTCACCTCTCCCCCTCCTCCCAGGGCGAATT